TAAGGCAACATTTTTTTACTAGATACTCAACACAATCTGAAGGCACCCAGCCAACTGTTTCATATAATACCCATATCAGATATTGCAATATGGGCTATATTTGCCATTTTTCTTTTTCAACATCTGAGATTCATTTTTCTTTTCTTGATTTTTTTTTTTAGGTGACCCTAATCTGACCAAATATCTATTATTGGCTGAATAGTAGTGCCTAGAAGTCCCCTCCCAAGATTGCTACTCACTATTCATAAACTTAGAGTTGTTCCTATCTTAATGAGTTTACAATCCAAATAGAGGATTGGAGGAGTAAGTGTATAAGGGAAGGCGGTTTGGGGACTGGAGCACTTACTTGTAGAGGTAAAGACCACACAAGGTCAAGAGACATTTCTTTTATTGTGTGGATGGAAAGAAGAGGGTGGGTGGCTTCCATGGAGTTCCATATGTTACAAAAAGAAACTTCAATCCCAGATAATGCACAAATTGAATGCATTTGTCTAAGACAAGGATATGATTTATGACAAATTACATAAGGAAGCCTCTGTTACAAATCCTTCAAGCTGATCCAAAAATAGATGCTAAAACTTCAGTTCATGGACCAGTAATCTCTATCAAACTGTACAGTGTTGGGCCCCAGTAATTTAGGTTCTTTCACCTGTTCTAAATTAATACTTCAGGTTATAAAATAAGGATATCAGGTTGTTTTATTGCTATTAAGTCTGCCTATAATACAAAAATTCACAATTTAAGCTGAGGCAATTACAAAATCTAATTTTTAGGTGGAATGTTCATATGTACACAATATACAGACGTAACCAAGTTCTATCTATAAGTAAAAAATAAGTTAAAACAAGTCTGGGAAGAAAAAAAAAAGACAATCATGGTCAAACATAGCTATTTATTTTTTCTTATAAACAGCATTCAGTTTCTTACTGAAAAAACCTAGAATTTAAATATTTTTTCCTCCCATCACATACAACAATCTGTATACATTATTTACATCTCTCAAATAAACATGTTGCAGATTCAGACATTCGACCTTCTCTTTTTAATCAAAAGCTGTTCTGATTTAAAATTAATATATCAATCAATAATGACTACAAACTGAAGCAATATTGGCACAGTTAGCTTACAGTACAGGTTCTCATCTGGCATTTCATATTTTACAACATTTTTTCCTCCAGCTGCTTTAAGATGTTTAAAGATGTGAATATGAAGGTTATAGTGTTGCTTTTGCAATATCCCTTTTGCCTCCAGCAACAAAGTTTTCCTCAAATCTCATTCACTTATTGCATTCTTTGTTGCTTCCATTGCACATCGAGGTATTGCTTCTAGTGGTCTTTAGCAACACAACTTAAGCACATAGGACATAGTAAAAAGAGCAAAGAATTAAGTGTTCCCTCCAAGACTTGTGTCCCAAAATGTCCTAGTTGCACATGTACAAAAATAATGAGTACAGTTTAGTGGCTATAAAAATTAATTTCCCCTAAAAATACATTAATCTATGAATAATTTAGGGAGCATATTCTAAAACAAACATTTTTGAAATTCAGTTTTTCTAAAATCTTAAAAAGAAATTCTGTTTTAGGAAAAGGAAGAAAATAAAAAGATGCTTTGTACTCAGAATGATCAATGTTAGTCATCTACTTAAAAGGATTAGACATCAACAAAACCTTTTATACAGTTTTAAAACCTCATCACTAATGGTTCCAGCAATGCAGTTTGGAAAAAAACAAACAAAAACAAAACCTGTAACAACTGAAGTTACCAATCAAGAAAACAAGTTTCTAAATAACGGCAAGAGTTCTTTTCAGTGGAAGAAACAGGCAGTCCACATTCAAGCTGCAGCTTTAAAACAGTCCAAATGAAAACTGGTGTTTTACATACGGTAATATAGCACTCCAGGGGACAAGGAAAAAATAAACATCAGTATTGGCTGGCATAAAACATTCCAAAACAAAATGTTTTTCATTAAAATGATGAATGGTGATGCAGGGCAAGAGGGAAGATAAAGAAGAGAAAGGAGAAAACTGGATGGTGAGTAAAGTCAATAGCAGCAAATAGGTATCTTACCTGTGAAGTGAGAGGGAGTGTTCAGTTTCAAAATACTAAATAAAAACAGTGCCTTTGTTCTCTATCTTAAGGTAAATGAAAAAGTTCAAATTCTATATTGCATAGTAAGCAGTAAAAGAAACTTGGACACTTGCAGACAGGCTTTTTGTCCTTTTATAAATTGTTCTCTCTCCTCATCTATCATGTTAAGCATCAATTCAGCTACCAGCAACATCAGAATGTTGCACAATTTCTCTGTTTGCACAATTAACTTGGATCCCTGACTCAAATATGAAAGATCTTTAAAGTTACAATTTCTGTGATCAGAATTTAACTACCAATGAATACTCCTTGGACCAAATTCACCGCTAGCATAAGATACAGAACACAGCTGTCTTCAAAGTGTCACACCTGTTTATAAAGCTGTGAGTTTTGGCCTGTCTCATCTCGAGGTAGATCACTCCTGAAGTTACAACCCAAATCATTAAAATGGTCCAATATAGGCTGGTAGCTAAGATACAGAAAAACCTGTTAAGAGCCTTATTATTTTGCAAGGTCTTAGCCCACACTGGAGGCATGTGGGTAATACTTTTCTACTCCTAATATCAACAAGGTCTAAAGCTCCATTGTTTCAATATCAAAAGCAATGAAATACCAAAGGGAGCATCCCTTAACAAGCATGCTGGAATAGTTTGCTTCCCC